TGTGTAGGCCATCACTTGTGGCCACAGCAAAGGGAAACAGGGGCGAGGAAAACAGTCATCCATCCAAGCTTCACCACAGATTTTGAGGCTATGCCATCCTTTTTTCTGCTCTGCAAACCTTATGGGGGTCTATGGCACATAATACGTAGAACTACTATTCACTCTACAAGAGTCTACATATTTTGGATCCCTAGAGGGAGGGATGGGGCACAAGTAGTAGACCTATTAGATCAGTGAAACTAGTTGAAATTCCAAAAATTCCAAATATTGAAACATGCAATTGCCAAATTTCCAGTCGAACAAGCAACAGAGAAAACATATATTCACCAAATGTGAATACTGGATATATCATACACATGTGCACACCATTTTTCAGACTGGGTGAAAAGTGCTGGTGTGAATTTTTCCCTTACAACTGGAAATATACACACCGTTTTTCAGATTTGGCGAGCAGCAAAGCGAGTGGGAATGCCTAACAAATGCCCTCTGCATCGATCAGCAAAAATAACAATAAAAGAATGCTAAGAATCAAGCATTGCCAATGCCGCAGCAGGTCTCCTACTCTCACTGCCACCTTCCTAAATGTATGTGACTGCAATTACGACCAAACCTGAATGCATCTGACCGCAATCACGTCCAGAGCTTAGTAGAAAGATTCCCAGCGTGAGTATGCCCTCAGTTTGAGCACCAATGACCTAGGTCCTGCCCGGCAACTGCCTAGCAATCCTGAATGTATTTGACCCAAGCTGGTGGCTAGATGCAGCCATAATAACCCGGCGATCTGTTGAGGGGAGAAGGCAGCTATTGAAACCAGGAATGTGTTAGATGGCAATTTCGGTCCTTGACGATGGCCTTCACGCTCTTGTTGCCCTGCAGCCCATGCTTCTGGTGACATTATTGAGGATGACTATTCTGTGCTTGCTTTGATGCTGGGGTGTCATGCATTCACCAACTCTTTCATTTCACATCAAGTCAAATGTATTCAATGACACTCATTCCTCATCGCACAGTTGTGGTGCTATTTGTGAGATTAGCTTGCCGAGCGGCCGGACCAGTCCTTCCATGTTTTGGTGTAGCCTGCCAACTCCTGACCTTGCTTTGGCCAGCTCTGCCTCACTCTGCCGACTTCTGATCCTGATGTGCCCTCGCCCTTCCCTCGCACCATGTCCTTCGGTCTGACCAACTACCGTCTTCACCCGGATAGATCACCTGGTCATTATTGCTGCACCTGGACTGAAAGCTCACCCCAATACAGCTGTAATGACTGGGCATTCTATTTGGGTGAAGACGGGAGTGCTTTCCAGTCACCCTGCGAGATTATGACACTCGGAACTACATGGCCCTTGTTACAACACGCTGCTGCTGACCGAGCAGTTCGTATAAAGTTATCCTGCCGATTACAACATGGCTAGTTGCTGCTGACTGAACAGTGCTTTCAAGTTACACTGCAGGATTGCGCAGTTCGCAATGACAAGGGCCTGGGTACATCACGTCCAAGACTTGCACACATCTTGACGCACCTTCTTGTTGTTACAGGTGAACGGCGCGACCTCTGACCATCGAACAAGGAGTGGTTCAGAAAGCACTCCGTTGGTGCGTCCATGCTAGTGCTTTCCCGGATGCATTTGTTTTGCTTGGGACACTCGCTCAGCAGAGTAGTAGGGTGAGAATGCCCTGCATGAAGGGTTTTCGACGAACTTTGCCCCCTCCAACCACCAGTGCCCTTGTGCAGAAGGGGTGAGCATGCCCTGCATGCAGGGTTTTCCAGGAACTTTGCCCCCTCCGATCACCAGTTGCTCATTATCTCTTCTTACATATACGCGGAGGTCACACTTTTGATGTGCTGGCCTGCTTGCTGGCATACAAGCAGCCAAGACCAACTCACTAGGAATCGAACGTATATGACCTGCCACAGACAAGGTGGATCAGTTAACCAATAGGTGAAGTGAGCTGGGATGGACATGAAGCCCCCTGAGGGACATTTCACCCCCCCACCTCATGGATGTACATCCGTGACCTTGTGAACCCAGACTCTACTCAACCCATGTGCCTTGCGGCACCGGCCAGACCTCAAACAAGCACTGCAAGGGTGTCGGACCGGCTCAAATTTTCCTTCAAGTAAAAATCACCTGCAGGGGACTGGTGGTCGAAAAAAACACACAAATCTGTATGCAGCAATTTTTCATTGCAAGAACTCCCAAGAAGGGGTGCTCATCCCTTGTTGCTACGTAGGCTGTGATCACAGGACAAGCTTTGTGACCCGCAGACAGAATGTCCCCCCTCTGCAGAACTCATGGGATACGGGCATCAGAGCGAAGATGTGAGGGAAAGGTACCGGACACAGGATTACGGTCTAAACCCACAAAAACAATGTACACTGTAAGGTCATTATGGCTGTATCTAGACTGAAAGTTGCCCCAAATACAGCTAAGATGGCAGTATATTCTATTCGGTTGATGACAGTAATCGCTTTGCAGGCAGAGAATGGCCTGCATCTGCACCCACAATGCGCTGCTGGCCACAGGCATCTGAAGCGAAGACGAAGCGAGGGAAAGGTACCGGACAACACATACAGGATCATATGAGGTATTGGCTCAGCTTTGTTCATAGATCCTCAAGACTCAGTCAGACACATGCCTTCTCAGAGGGGACTTGGAGCTGTGTGGACTATCAGAATTCCCTTTCAGAGGCGACTGCAAGCTGTGTGGACTATCCCCGTCTCCTGCATCTACAGTTGTCCTGGCAGGACTCGAACTCCTACTCCTTATAGTTTTCACACTCTCCTTTGCATTGAAACCTCTTCTCAGCTCCAATTCATCTGAGGCAACCTTCTTAAAAATGTCCGTGCTCTTTTTGCCTGCTTGTTTGATGAGCGATGCTGTCTCCCCCATCATCTAAGGAACAGAAACGTTTTCAGACAAGAGGCGAACAAGAAAGTGCCTGTCAGTTTGCCAGTTTTTTTTTTTTCCCCCCTCCTTCATCGAGTTTGCTGGTTTCTTTTTCCCCCCTGAAGTTTGCTGGCTTCTAAAGCAGTCTTGGCTCAGAGTTCCTGCAGTTTTCCACACAGCCCATCCTGTTTCAGGCTGTTTGTCTTTTTTTTTCTTCTTCTTTTTCTTTTTCTTTTTTTTTCGGTGGAAGTTTGCGTTTCATTATATGAAAATCAAGGAGGCCGGGAATCCCTCCACATCTCAACCCGGGTACTGGGGCCATTACCCAGCTTTGGCTGATGCTGGAAACCGGGGTCAAGGTCCCACTTGCACGGATTAAGAGATTCTGGCCGTTGATCCTTGTTATCCACGGTCAATATGGCTTAATTCGTGTAAGTGGGACCTAGCCCCGGGTCCAGCATCATGGAAGAACAGATGGTCCTGTCAACCTCAGTTCCTCAGTTCCTCAGTCCTGCTCTGGCTACTGAGTAGCCTAATCTCCTTATAAACCCTATACCCGAATCTGTCTTCTTCATTTTTCTAATCAATTTCTAAGTTTGAATAAACCTTGTCAAATTCTCATCATTTTGGCATTTTCCGTACAACACAGGTTTACCATAGCTGACACAATCGGAAAAGGGTAAGGTTAGTGGCGCCTTTGTGAAATATACAAGGACAACCATGCCCTCTCAACCCTTTAGAAAAAGTAACCCTCAGCAGCCAATACATTGCTCCTGAGTCCTAACCCTTTTAGTGCCAATTTTATGGACCTCCTAAATTTTTTTATTTTTATTTTTATTTTTATTTTTTTTTGTCGCGCACGTGCACGTGCACCACTCTCTCGCGCATGGCGCACAGCGTTCCGCGCTGCACTGCGCACCGTACCACTGTGCCGCAACTATGGGACTCTTAAGTTGAATTCTTAACCCTTTCAGGGCCGACAAAGGGGACCACGGAGTTCCCAGTCACCCCAAAAGGGGTTAGAGGGCCAACCAAAAGGGCCCGCCCAGCCCTTTGGGGAAAATTGGGGCCAATAAACCTGCCAATCTTAGGGCACTGGAGAGCCGGGTCGTTCTAGAACTGGAAGAAGGACATTGCCGCTTATCAAGTCCAAAATGTCCCCCTCGTCAGAATGACCTGGAAGCCTGTTCCTTTTTTTTTTTTCCCCCGAAGCCTGTTCCATTGAGAATCAAGATCAGATTATGTGCATGGACACCCAAAAAACATCAGCTTCCCTATACAACTAAAGGAATTAGCGGATCTTCCATGACCCTCTTTTTTTTTTTTTCAGTGGCCCGCTGGTCTGTGTCCCCCACCAGCAGAAGGTCTATTCACGTCGTGGGTTTGAGACGGCCCGACTGACAGTCTTGTGCCTCGTGCGTTTGACATGACGTGGGTGCATTCGCGTCGACATCCATTTGAGATGAGGCGCGAGAAAGCATCCTGCAAGGGCACTTGATCCAGCTATCGGCCGTGGGAAAAAAATAGAGTAGAAACGTTTCTAGTCGGATGAATCCGCACGTTTCCTAAAATTGTGGCTTCTTAATGGGCACAACTCAGGAAGTACTGGTGGTTTAACATAGAGTGTTTGCGACGACCTCCCAGAATGGACAGCCGGGCGCTGTCTTCTGCCGCTCCGTGTGTGTGTGTGTGTGTGTGTGTGTGTGTGAGACACGCAGTGAAAGATTCTGTCCATTTTCCATGGGAGGAGGAGAGGGAGGAGGAGGGGCAGGATGACGATCGGGAGGGGAAGGAGGAGGACGGGGAGGAGGATGAACAGGAGGACAACATACAGATGTTCGTGTAGCTCCCCATATTCCAGTGGAAGATTCATTCCATTTTGCGCGGGAGGAGAAATGGGAGGAGAAATGGGAGGAGGCGCGGGATAACGAACGGGAGGAAGGGAAGGAGGAGGACGGGGTGGACAATGGAGGAGCACCGCTTGCAGGAAAGACAAAGAAAAAAGGCTGTGGACAATGGAGGAGCACCGCTTGCAGGAAAGACAAAAAAAAAAGGCTGTGTATCTCCCCATGTTCCAGCGGAAGATTCATTCCATTTTTCACCGGAGGAGGATCGGGAGGAGAAGGAGCGAAGCGGGAGGAATGGAAGGAGGAGGACGGGGAGGATGACGGATAGGAGGAGCACCCGATGCAACAAAGACAAAAGAATATGGCTGTGTATCTCCCCATGCTCCAGCGGAAGATTCATTATGTTTTGGATGGAAAGAGGAGAGAGAGGAGGAGAGGCGGGATGGCGAGGGGGAGGAAGGGAAGGAGGAGGATGGGGAGGACGACGAACAAGAGGAGCACCGCATGCAGGAAAGACAAAAAAATCTGGTCGTGTATCTCACCATCGTCCAGCGGAAGATTCATTCCATTTTGCATGGGAGGAGGGGCGGGATGACGAGCAGGTGGAGGGGAAGGAGGAGGACGGGGAGGACAATGAACAGGAAGACAAAAAATATGGCCGTGTATCTCCCCATGTTCCAGCGGAAGACTCACTCCATTTTGCACGGGAGGAGGAGTGGGAGGAGGGGCGGGATGGCGAGCGGGAGGAGGGGAAGGAGGAGGATGGGGAGGACGACGAACAGGAGGAGAACAAGTGGCACGAGGAGTGCAGGGAGGAGGGGGAAGACAATGAGTGGGAGAAGGTGGACAATGAACGGGAGAAAGAGTGGCAGGAGGAGGAGCGCTATGAGGAGGGGCGGGAGGAGGAGGGGAGGGAGAGGTCGACGAACCGCGAGGAGGAATGCAAGGAGGGGGAAGACGATGAGCGGGAGAAGGCGGACGACAAACGGGAGGAGTGGCAGGAGAAGGAGCGCGACGAGGAGGGGGAAGACGACAGGCGGGAGGAGGAGCCGGAGTAAGATGAGTAGGAGGAGGAAAGGGAGGAGGAGAAGTGGTGTTTTCCTTTTCATGCCCTCGGCTACAGATGATCCTCTTCCTCTTTCCCGCCCCGTCCCCTCCATTTCCCTCTTCACCTCTCCTCCATCGTCTTATCGCATCCCCTCTGTTGGGCCGCAGAGATGTGGGTCCACTTGTTATTATAATATGACCCACTGTATTATTAATGAAGTTTATGCTTTGATTCTTGAAGAAAGAAAGAAAACAATGACCCACTCTATGCTCTCATTATGGCTGAAGGACCCTTAGACAGCGGCATTGATTGCTTCCTTTCGAGGAAGGATTTACTCTTTTTGAAAGGGACAATGTTGGAAGCTGAAACTCCTTTTTTTTCAATTAATCAACCATAGAGCGATGCAGGTTTCCAGGCCATGATTAACTTCTCTGTCCATTTGGTACAATCAGCCCCGTAGGAAACCACCAACTCCTTTAAAATCACCACTACGCAGCAGGCCTTGGTATGCTATCACAGACGCACATAGACGCCATGGTTTCAATGTGCGGCATCAGTCTGCATGCACCTGTGTTAGTTCACACTCAATGGGTAAAATGTCAGCCATGGCGAACTCGTGGTTGAACTGAGGGAAAGCTCGTGGATTTTGGAAACGAACCCGACGATTGGATGCAACTCTGGCACACAACATCCATGAACCGACGCCATATTACTGATGCAGCCACACGAAGTGTTGAGAGAGACCTTCAACATGTGATTTCCATACATGTTTGAAAATGAGTTGGGTTTATGTTTGAAAATGAGTTGGGTGGCGAGCCTGACAAGGCCCAGTACAATTCTGGTTTCTGGCAGCCCGACAGGGGTAAATCCGGGTCTCCTCTTGTCACTCCTTTGTGGACAAGGAGGCCTGGTGGTTTTATCCACTAGTACTTGTGGTGAATATCCTAGTCTCGTTCTTGATGTTAAGGAGGGCGCTGACAAAACCAGCAGCTATTTGTTTTTTTTTTTTTGTTTTTTTGGGAACAAGGCTCCAATCTATTCGTGGGGAGCAGCACGTGCTGGGAACCGGGCCCAGCGTCCCATATAGAAATTTACACAGAATTGATTGTCATTGGAACCTGGTGTGCTTTCAGGGCAGGAGCTCCCGGTTTCCAGGGTGGGAACTGGTATGGACTCCTGCTGTCCGGTCTGCGAATTGGTACCGGCTCCTGGTGTCCAGGGTACGAACTGGTATGGGCTCCCGACGTCCAGGCTGGAACTCGAATGGGCCCCTGGTCTCCAGGCTTGGAACTGGGTTGACTTCTGGTGTCCAGGCTCGGAACTCATCTACTGTAGGCTCCTGGTGTCCAGGCTTAGAACTGGCATGGGATCCTGGTGTGGTCGGAACTGGAACGGGCTCCTGGTGTCCAGGCTGGGAACTGGTATGAGCTCCCACTCTGCGAATTCGTATGGGCTCCCAATGTCGAGGCTGGGAACTGGTATGGGCCCCTGGTGTCCAGGCTAGGAACTGGGTTGGCTCCTGCTGTCCAGGCTCAGAACTGGCATGGGATCCTGATGTCCAGGCTCGGAACTGATATGGGTCCCTGGTGTCCAGCCTTGCAACTGGTATGGGCTCCTGGTGTCCAGGCTTGCAACTGGTATGGGCTCCTGGTGTCCAGGCTTGCAACTGGTATGGGCTCCTGGTGTCCAGGCTTGGAAGTGGTATGGGCTCCTGGTTTCCAGCGACACTGGGAATTTGTATAGACTACTGACGTGCGGGGTGGCAACTGATATGGGCTCCTGGTGTTTCGGTGCGGAACTGGTATGCGCTCCTCCTGTCCAGCCTTACTTCCCTCAACACCTATGCCAGGATGCACGTCAATTTGTACACATTCCAAAAAACATAATGCACCTGGGCGACTGGAGGAACTGGAACAGCCAAGGCAAATTATAGAGGCCATTAACCCGGACACTGTAAAGCATAACACCAGAGAAGTCCTCCTTGTAGAGACTGTATTGGAGGGAACATCCATTGTAGTGCTGCTTGACTTTTTGCAACTTCTGTACGTGTTTTCTTGCGATGCTTACGATGATGCTTACGATGATGCTGACTGATGCATGTGCGTCGTGACTTCGCACGTCACAGCAAACCAACAAACCTCAAAAAGGAAAAAAAAAAACTAAAACAAAGAGAGAGCATAGACGAAAATATGTGGATTATGAACAAATACGGGTCGCCCAGGAAGGAAGGTGCAACGCTTAGTCTGGGGAGGCTACCTCCTACGGGGGATCCACCAAGTGGGCATTGGGCCAACCTGATTGTCATGGAGGGAGGCGTTCCTGCAAATGAGAAGGGGCCTGAAATTCAAAGGAGGAAGTTTTGCGGCAGGCCCTGTGAAGCATGCTCAGAATAGTCCCAGCGATGCAAATGTAGCCAAAGGATCAGCCAAGTGATGATAAGGACCGAATGGACAATTGAAACGGTTTCACTCAGTTGACCCGACTTTGCAGACACAGAGATTCAATCCCCAGACCTGTGCCCGAACCCTGTACATTGAACCTGTGTGCTGAGTGAGATTTGATCCCTTGACCTATCCTATACCTGTGCATAGACCCAGTGACCTGAGTAGGATTCGATCCCTAGACCTGCCCTACGTCCGGACAGTAGGACTTGTCTGTAGGTCGGACAGTAGGACTTGTCTGTAGGTCGGACAGTAGGACTTGATCCCTAGGTCTGTAGATTAGGAGTTAGGTCTGTTACCGTTAGGCTTAGGAAGGTCTGTTCAAGAAGTCTCTATTTGAGTCTACTGACGCCTAGAGTCTGTCTGTAAGTCTGTAGGCTCTAGAAGGTCGTAGATCCCTGTAGGCCAGTCCAGTCAGCAAGTACCAGGGGTAGGGGCTGCACGTGGGGAAGGTTCTGGAGCACGCTGTGGGTTTCACACGTTTTGGCCCAGAAGGCCAAACGTCTGGAAACATCCCTGGGCCACACGTTTTGGCCCAGGCTCACAAGTTTTGAGGCAGGCCTGGGTGCCTCCAAAGAGGTATAAATAAAGAGGCAGCGTCCAGCCATTATTCATTCGCCTGTGTGCCATGTGGAAGAGCTGCCTTGGTATCTTGTGGGTGGAGGACTGCAGGTGCCCGGAGAAGTGGGCTGTGAAGAAGACAGCGGCCATAGCTAGGAGGAGGAAGACGACGGCGGCCATAGCCGCCCAGCTGTTAGTGCAGACAGCGTGTACAGAGTGTGTGTGTAACTGTGTAGCGTGGACATTGAGGATGATCCTCGTACGTGTGTGCATGCGAGAGTGGGGGAGAGCGAGGCGGGTGGTAGAGACAGTGTTTGGCGGCCACAGCCGCAAGTTGTACAGTTGGTTCAGACTGAATTTAATACAAGTTCATTGTTGTTTCTGAGTTGGAAGAGTTCGGTTTTGCCATCAGTTCTCAAGTGTGCATGTTGTGAGCAAGTCCATGGTCGAGTCTGATTGCATTGGTATCGGAGCTGGTACCCGTTGTCCACGCCGGCGGAGCTGCAGCAGCGAGTTGGAAGAAGGAAGAAGCCGCCATAGTCGGAGCTCGGCAGAGAGAGAGAGAGAGAGACAGAGAGAGAGAGAGAGGAGGGGGGACGGCAGCCATAGCTGCCAAGCTCGGGAAAGAAGACGACCAGCAAGAAGAAGAGATAGACGCAGAAAAAAGGAAGAAGAAAGTGACGAAGAGGGAGAAAAAGTCAGCCATAGCTGAGGTGAAGAAGACGAAGGTTTTGACAAAGAAGAAGGTCCACCATAGCCGGAAGGTTGGAGGGTTGGCTAGAAGAGTTGACCAACGTTGACCACGAGCGTTGACCGGGTGTTGACCAACGTTGACTGAGAGTTAACCAAGGGTGTTGACCGAAGTTGACCAGGGCATTGACCAGGAGCATTGACCGGCGAGTTGACCAAGACCGTTGACCGGAGCGTCGACCCAGCTGGAGCAAGAAGATTACCCGTACTATCCTTCCAAGCCCTGGCCTATCCCCTTACCCCGTGGATGTGCACCTTCACCCTGGTACTTGCTGACGTCAAGTCTGTCAAGGTCAGTCAGTCATATCTCCCTGTCACTTCTGTCCAGGTCGTTAGGACTGTGATTGTGGTCATAGAATCGTAAGTCTAGCCCGAGTAGTGAATCAAGACCCCTCGATAGAATTTAACTTGTTCGGTCTACGTGTTGAGGCGCGGAATTGTTGTTGATTGTGCACCATCACCATGGTGGACCTTAGGTTTGGAACTAGCACCACCCGCTACAGCAAGGAGCAAGAGGAGAGAGCTGCCGCTATTCTGCGAGAGAGGAAGGAGAGAATGGAAAAGAGGGGGTTAATCAAGCAGGCCAAGATGCTGGCCCTGTTGGAGGAGCAAGAGGCGAAGAAGAAACAGATGGAGGAGGAGCTGAAAAAATGGACGAAGGAGCAGGAGGAGAAGATGGCAGCTATTCAAGCGGAGGTGGAAAAAGAAGAAGAAGACGAAAAACAGGTGGAAGAAAAAGTGCCATTGGTAAGGAGAAGAGGTGAAGCCAGCACACGTAAGGAGGAGAAGATTGAGAAGACAACAAAAGAATGGACCGCACACTTGGAGCTCGGGGAAGATAGGGAGGCAGAGTGGGCGATACCCCAAGAAGAGAGAGGCGACAAGAAGGGAATTGGAGACAGAAAGGGATCCTGTTAGAAGAAGAGCGAAAGAAGAAGAACAACAGAGGGCATGGAAGTGGTGTTTGTCCCAATAGAAAGTTAGGCGTTTGGAGGCGGCGGAGCGAGCAGAAAGGGACCTGAAAGCGGCAGAGACTAGGATGGGGAAGATCAGGGCTGAGACCGAGTTAGCTACTAAGATTGAGACCCTGACTCAAAGTGTAGCACATCACGAGCAAACACAGTACATCCGCAGCTTAGATGTAAAGACAGATAGAATACGTGCCGGATTTAAAGATTTTGCACGTGATATGATGAAGTACTTGGTGGACCAGGTCCACCTGACAATTAGCAAGACAAAGGATTTCTGCACTGGCGCCATTGAAGGCGCAAAGTTAGCGGCTCCTAAGGAAGAGGAGCCAGCCTATCGCATACTGCGCATCCACACGGGCCTGCAAGGCCCGACCAAACAAGTAAAAGTAAGGGCCCTACAGGCCCTGTGTCGTTTTCAGCCTGAAAGCCTGAAAACAAGGGCCTACAGGCCCTATGTCGTTTTCAGCCTGAAAGCCTGAAAACAAGGGCCTACAGGACCTGTGTCATTTCAGCCTGAAAGCCTGAAAACGAGGGCTTATAGGCCCTGTGTCGTTTCAGCCTAAAAACCTGAAAACAAGGGGCATTTTCAGGCCCCTCATAAAGCCGACCTGCCCTTAAACTTAGGCACCAGACCAGGGTTTTAGCACAGGCCATTTTGGGCCTGTTTTCAAGACAACCGTTGTTTGAACTTCAACACCAGGGTCTGGCACGTTTTGGCATTGGCAAGAGCAGCCTCCTGGACGGGCCAGCACTATATAAGACTGGCCCGCCCTGCAGGCTGCAGGCAGGCAGGAGGCAGTTCATAGGGACTTCCCAGGCACTTCACTTGCAGGAGGCAGGAGGCAGTTTGGACTTCCCAGGCACTTCACGTGCAGGAGGCAGGAGGCAGTCTTCAGGATTCGGCAACAGCACTTTGGAGGAGCGCTGCAGTAGTAGTAGTAGCGTTAGAAGTAGTCTTCAGCGCTGGGCGCTATTAGGAGCTAGAGTAGCATTGGAGAGAGAGAGATGGTTGGCGGAGGCCAGGGAGACTTACCTGTGGCGCCATAGCTCCAGCTTCGTCTTCGATGTACCTGCAACAAGGCACCACCTTCAC